CTCAATCTAGGTTGAGTAAAGACTATTCATTGTCTAGAACTTGTGATGATGTGAGTGTGTTTAGGAAGAAGAAACTGACGGATGAGTGGAGACGGTTTTGTCAGCCTATCGGGTGGCGATGTAAGTGGTTAGAGATCAAGGTTAAAGAAATTGAGTCTCAAGCAAGAGGGTATGAGAAAGAAGTTAGAAGTTACTATGAGGGTAAAGAGTTTGATTTGGAGAAGTCTAAAGTTGAAGGCTTTGATGGGAAATCGATTCCTTTCCGCGACCAAGCTCAGAGGATGAATGTTTTTAAGAGAAGAAGAAGGAAACGAGTGGAAGAGACAACAGATGTTGCTGCTTATATGGCCAACCATAATCTTTTCTCTTATGCGGGTATCGACATTGCAACTCTCATTGCTTCTTTGAACTCTTTCTTTTAATTAGCGACAACAATAATGTTCTAACTTTGTGATCTTAAAACTCTGTGATCAGACCAGCGGATGCCAGCAGGTCTTAAACCTCAAAATCTTGATCCAGGTGAGATTTATACACTGTGTCCCGTTTTCTGATGAAAAGGGCGGGGAGTTTAGCGCTAAATATTCGATATTATGTCATTGATTTTGGTATAGGCCGCAAAGCGACGATCAAGGAAGATGGAATTGAAGATGATTGCCTTGTTTCTGAGTTAGATTGTTCTGATGATTTCCTAGCAAAAATTCTGTGTAAGATTGATGAGGCGCAGGAAAAAGCAAGAAGTTTGCGGAAGCGTGCTGATCAGTTGATGATCGAATCTCAGTCTGCTCCTTATCAGAGAGACTTGACGGTACAAAATGGCAAGCAAAATGCACTTTTAGAAGAACCATTGATATTGCCTCAAACAGCAGCTCGCAGTCAGAGAGAAGCGACTGTACAAATTAGAAGGCAACGTATATCTGCTGATCATACCGAAGATCTATTGGTGCCTCAAGCTCCTCCCGTAGAAATTGGTGGGCAGTGTTTGAATATCAACTCTCCATTATCATCTGGTGACTTAGGATATAACCTTCACATTGAAGACGTGAGAA